TGTGATGAGTGTAGCTGCAGCTGGACACGACGTGCATAATTTGACACTTTCTCGGGTTCACTCGGAGGTCTCGCCGCGATGCTTCCGACAAGGCGAAAGGACGATACAAATCGAGGGAAATAGAAAGTGGCATATCTTTAATTGTGCTTTCATCCTCAGCCGGGGAGACATGCTGCACTTAAACCGGACCACGGAGGCTAAGAGTGGTTCGCCACCTGTTTCTGACATGTACCTTGGTACTTTTAGCGAAACTTTCATTTAATATTAAGCAACTAGGCTCCACGGTAAAGCATTTTGACAACCGGTATGAATAAGTAATGTGAAGACATAAATATTCTTAAACTTCCTGCAGACAAACCAAACAAGTTGAGGCCATTCTCATTCACCACAATGAGTAAGAACATCAATTTTGAAACGACAGGTAAATCTGAATTTACCATTTGGCTTCTTACATTAGATAGTGGCTGTTATTGTGCAACAAAGAAAACATATACACCATAATACGTTCATAGAGTGAAGCTGCCATTGGCAGTTTGTGTTTTCTGTAGGAGATTAATTATTGTGTGACAAAAGGCTCAGAAATGTTCATTTTCCAGTTGTCGAAAAATAATAACTGACATACACTTTTGGATAAACCATCATTACAGCATGCAAAGAAAACACACAAAACAACTTTGGGCTGAAGAGAGCCTTCCAATGTGCCTTGAAGTACCACTTTGCATGAATGAGTATCTTTTAGGATCTTTCCCAGCTTTTTATTTGCATCTCTCAAAATAAAGCTTAGCGTATTTCATCTTAGTGCAAGTCTTACAACTGAGGTGAAAGCTCCTCTGGAAGTGAACTCAAAGCGACGGCATGGGAACCTGCAGAGAACTGAAAATGAACTCCAGCACTAGACCTGTGCAGATGCCGAGCCGATGTTTGCCTGATTTCTGTCGGCTTTGCCCTGTTGCACTCCCCAGTGGTTGAGCACACTTACCCTTTCCCACTCCTGTATTTATCTCATTTTCAACAGTCAAACCCACAATATTAACCAGAGCCATTCATTAGTACAGCGCAGAAGAGAAGAGGCGGAGTCTGTCAATTATTTATTATTATTATTTAGTTTGGACTTAGAAGAGATTACTCATGAGTTCCTGAACACTCAGTCAATGATACAGCAATGAGTCAGATGATAATATGCACAACACTCCTTAATGACCGTGTAATTTAAGACACAGAAATAGATTACAAAGAATATACAAGCACTTCGAAAACCATGCCAAGTAACAATGTCTCTCTTGTGCCCACGACCCAACCTAGAGACTGCAAAAGTGCATTATTAGACTGACAGCAGGATTAAATAAAATAATTGACCCGCTGTTTTCCTCCTCACCTCATTTCTGCCTTATCCTTACCTCATTTTTATTTTTTATTTCATGTACATTTATCTAAATTATTGTATTTTTATTTTTATTTCTATTTTAAAATTGGTCGGCTTTCCGAAAAGGCAAGCACAAGAATTTCAATACACAGGGCGTGTGTAAATGACAATAAAAATCTTTGAATCTCGAATCTCTTGTCATAAAAAAAACGACTAAATAGGATGTTTGATTGTAGATGTTACCCCATTCTTTCTTCTTCTTCCCTTCTTCTTTTTTCTTCTTTCTTTAAATGAGCTGTATTACAATTGGTGCAGGGGGATGCGTAGAATCAGCATGTATGGATTTCATTTCATGTAATAAACAGATGCTGAGATGCTGCAGACGAATACAAAATAGCGACCCATGTCGAGCTAAGAAAGAGACCGTAACTCTGTTCATGCAAGTTATTCGTTATGAACTGCAATGAACCTGCCAACACGTTGCACAAAAAAATGCCTTTAGGTGACATGAGCCAGTCTCTCTTGTCATTGTTGTTTGCAAACAGTTCCGACGCAATATTGCCAGAGACTGATGCGGGTGGCGGGTTGAATGTGGCAGATGACACATCACGCTAGGGCACGTGGCGATAGAGGCCAGCTCACAGACTGGAATGATTGGCTGCGACAACGAGACCGGTCGTTGCAGCTGGCACTTGAAATATCAATAAGTTCAGAGGGGTCTGTTGGCTGCAAGCACTCATGCTTGATCCCAACCAACCAATGCTGATTAGTTAAACTAAAATAAACTGACTTAGGTGGAGTCGTGGCTTTCCCCAGAGTTTGTGTAACAACAGAATCAGGTACAGGACTCGCCTTTCCACTGCCAACTTCACATTACCGAAGAGCAGCAACACTGGTGGTCCGAGCTAGGAAAACGCGCATGGTCCTCTCTACAGGCATCACTCTTTGTTAGCTTTCAGAAAGATTAAAGAGGCCTCTGCAGATGATGCATTTCTGTGTATATATTTGGGCGTGCGTGTGCAGGAAAGTGAAGTTCCAGGTTTTTGAAACATGAGCAAGTATCACACAGGGAATGCTGTCCATAACATCCTCCTCCAAGAGGCTCCTTCTGTGAGGGAGGTAGAATGGTAGAGCAAGGCTAGCAAACAGTGGGAGAGAGAGACGGCAGGACAGACTGCCCTAGTTGTGCTGTATTTCATTCCTTCCTCCACAAGTAGTGATTCATCGGGTCCTGAGGGAAGGTGGTGACCTGACCTACAACGTGACGTTCTACTATATTCTAATTATCACATCGCGTCTGTTGGCGGAGTGGCAAACTGCTATTTGAGACCATGGAGAAGAATGAAACAGGATTGGAACAAAAGATGCGTAATGAGGTTCTGTTAAGATGCCCCGTCAGAAGTGCATCTCTTCCTACTCAGTCAGCATACAGAGAGGATAAGAAGAGCAGAGAGACAACTCAGTCAAAAAATATATGGATGGAACGCGATTGAGAATTGTACTCAGAGCTCATATGATTCCTAAAACGATTCAGAGTCTGACTGATGCTTGATATAAATCATGTCTTTGGTTTTGAAGATGAAATGACGATGAAATTGACAAGCCAAACAAATAAAAAATGAGCACACAACGCAAAACTTCACCGTGGGGAAAAAGCATATGAAGTGGAACATAAATGGTGGGATCCGTTTTCCAGAAACTTTGCTTCTTGGACCATTTACCGGCAAAGATAAAAAGCATCTTGGAAGCACATCCTCTGCCGTTCTTGAGGTGAATGTTAAATAGAGTTGCGCAAAAACAAAGGATGACCATAAAAGAAATGAACACGCTTAAGAGACAGGCCCAAATCATTGGAACCCGGGACATCATAGTCCCTCATTCTGTCACACAGCTTTCCCTTGAGTTTCTCCTCAGCTGGATGTGCCAAAAAGGATTTAAGATTTCTAAACCAACTTAACTGTCCTTTCAGTTTGAAGGAGCAGTGGTTTTGTCCAAGCTCATTCTGCATGTTCAACCCACCCTTCAACAGAAATGCATTTCTGCCACTACTATCCATCAAATTAATCTTTCAGTCACAACCCACGCATTCTTGTGTTAATCATCAAGTATCCAAAGTTCAGTCGGTTGAAGTCTCCTTTCTAGCAAGTCCTAAATGTAAACTGACTACTTGGGAAAGAACATGGTCGCAGTAGTCTTTTGAATCTTGTGCCGTACCTCAAGAGGACTAAGGAAGGAAGTCTTAAGCCAAGATATTCGCTGACTTCACCATGTGTGAACTGCAGAAATACAGACCCGAGAGGCTTATCGTCTCACGGATGATAATCGATGGGCTCTGAGATTGTGTGACCAAACAACTAAAGCACTCATATCCCAACACCGATGAGCCGTATAAACAAAGACAGTCCAACCACATTAAGAGTTTTGAATCTCACTGGGACGCTTTTGCATAACTGGACCATTACCTTGGGGAGCTTTCTGATTATCTGTAGCTTTCGGCAAAAAACAACAACTTTGGGAGTGAGTACAGAAGTCCCACAGAAGATGCCTGCAGAGTACAGAAGTTGCTCAAGCATTCCTTCCACACCATCGAGTAATATCCCCTGTCGAGGTTAGCGATCCTCCTCCCCTGCTGAGAAACCCCTGCACCTCGTACGGATTGGCGGAACAATGTGGAAGCAAACCAAAAGTCTGTCGTCTTTATGAGTTCCCCACACTTCTTCCAAGTTTTTGCTTCTGCAATAACAGAAGCTGCAATCCCTCTGGATTCCACATTCTTGTCATTCAAAAACCTGACAGCCTCCATTTTCATCTCGACAACTGCCGGGTTCCATTAGCCGGCAATTAGGGCGAGACAGGCACCAAAGACCTTCAGGCCACAACTCTTGGATATCATCAGCTTCCAACAACATGTGAAAAGTCAGCAGAGCAAGTCTTCCAGAGGTGACAGTTGGAGATTTTATGCAGAGGGCCCTCAGCCAGACATTCCCAGTTCACACAAAAATACAGTGTTTTTTGCTAAAGCGAAGGTGCTCTGGCTCCTTCCACAACAGAGATTTCACACCACAGCTACTTGTAATAGCCATGGGTCAGCAGGCCAAGGACCCCACTCAGCCCATCAGACATTTGGCAAGCGCTAGTCTCCAACACTTAAACATCTGAATAGGGTAACCTACATGGCATTGGCCCCATGTCACTTGTTGGAGCGGAGACTTACCAGGACCAAATGGTACAGGCCAGCATCAAGAGACTTACCTGCTAACTCCTGTGCAAGAACTGATTGCAGGAAGAGGCCTTGGATTCCCTATTCGCGATGGAGGTTTCTCTTTCCACAAAATACATTAAAAAAAAAAAAAAACTTTTGATGGTGGAGGGAAAGAATTTACCTTGAGAAAGCCGACCTGGGTTGTTGTCTGCACAAGCACAGCCTTGAAACCGTTCTCTTTTGACTTTTTTAACATAGCACACTTGCTGTGTACAATTTATTTAGTAGGTGTAGTAAACACAAAACTGCCTTTTCTGATTGCTGATTAAGCTGCAGTGCTTAATTGAATACAAACATAAGCTAATTGCAACAAGAGGCATCTCTTTATTACATGAAATGAAGCCCTGTCGCCAGCGGCTTGGTTTTTGGCTTTACCTGGTTTGGCGTTCTTGCAGCAGGCTTGTCCTGGTGGTTGGCGAGGATGAGGAAAGGCAGTGTGCACAGCTGGGGATGCTGCAAGGCCGAGTGGAGCTCGTTACGTGCAGCCTCGAGTTCCTCATCCGACGAGGCACTGTCCAACACGAAGACTACGCCCTGCGATCCCTGGTAGTAACGACTCCAATATTTCTTTATGTTGTCCGCTCCTGTAGACAAACATGGTTCAATTGAATGTGTCAATAATTAATTAATTAAATAATTAATAAGCATGTGACAACATTTCAAAAAACACAAAAGCATTTCCATTACATACATCGTGTCTGCAATCAATCTGAGAATATTGAGCCAAGAACATCAAGACATTGCCTAAAAGAACGGATTTTACAAATATAATTATAACGCGCATCCCACCAAACTCCAAGCAAACATTTTCTTTGGTAGGCTGGTGCTAGGCTATGCTACCATTGCATCGTAATTGAGGCATCATTTGGCAGCAAAGTTTTTGTTTGGACATTCCAGGGATTATATTTCAATTTCAATGCCGATCGTGCGAAAACGGATATATACATCATCGCAGACGGACGCATACCGTTCCCTTTTGTGCACCAACTTGACGATCACAAGATGGTTTAGTTCACAATAACTAACAAAAAGAGACCTACGTGCTCAAAAAATGAGTCAGTCCAGTCCAGCCTTGTAGCTCCTCCCTCTGCTTCCACTGAGGCCCCTCCTCCCTTTAGTGAGGCCATGCTTTGGCATTCAATGTAAGGGCACTTTGCTCAGGATCTGGCTAAATCCTACCAGCTTTGTACGCGCAAACCCCAACCACAAAACCATCTTGCACCTGAAGGAAAACTGTGCCATGTGATTAGAGGTCAACAGGTCACTGGGGTCAGTTCACAGCTTGGGATCTTTCCTAACAGTGTTCAACCTCCCAAAAAATAATAAAAGGAAATCATGTACCGTTACTGCAAAACGCACTTTGGTTTAATCTCTACAGCATTTAAGGTCTATAGCGTCAACCACAATTAAAATGATTATTTTCTGCATAAAAATAAGGTTTGGAATGATCAAAAGCTTCTGCTGTTGATTTTCTCTATTGATGCTGACACACTCAACACTGCAACACGTCACATTCTCAAACTACCCATGCTCCTTCATGCTCCTTCATGCTCCTTCATGCTCCTTCATGCTCCTTGGGACATCTTGCATCCATTGTGACTGACCGACCACTACTTTAATCAAGAAACTACAAATTTCAAGATAACGGAAGTGGAGTAAAAAAAAAAAATCTATATACATCAAACGATAAACAAAACATGCAGCAGTAGTATCGCTGCCTATTGTTAACATGGAATCAAAATAATCAGTGTTATTGTATTGGCAGAAACAGTTATTAACAGATATTTTCCTCATTAGTAAGGCATCTCAATTGCAACACAGTATTGGCTATTGTAGTTTTTATGTAAACGTTTGAAACATCACAAAGTGCTCTTGGTGACATTTCCCTTCCTCCCCCACTCATTCTACACACACCTCTCACTGGACCTCCCATCAGACAAAGTGGCACTTGAGAGATTGACTAGGAAGTTTCCCTCGTCTTTGCCTCGAGACGGTGGAAAGTCCGCCACTTCTCGTTGGCAGCTTCTGCCACCTATTGGCCTGACGGGAGGACTCCCAACGGGAGGACATCACGCCAGGGTTCTTGGGGGACGCTGGCAACCCAGCTACGTATCAGTGTTCAAATAAGACCTCATTTCTCTGCTCCTTTTCTACCACTTAACACCGTTGTTTTTATCCTCTATATATATAGCAGAAAATTAAATTAATAATGAGGTTACCTACTTTTGGACTTGACTGAGACGTAATTATTAAGGTCAATGCAGGCTATTGTGTTAGTAAGAGCAAGAGAGCAACTACTGCCAAAGAGGGCAAAATGTCATGAAACCTTTCTTATAACACCAATAGTTCTGGTCTTTGATTATGAGTGGCTGAACTCTTAATGCGTACGATCCTGTTGTGATTTTTTATTTTCCGGGTGGGCAGGTGTTACCATACCGTGCCAGGTTATGTAGAAACTGTTTAAAAAGAAACAACCGTTGTTGTTAAAATCACTGTGAATCACTGCCTCGGGTGGCTCACCGCTTATTGTGCTGCATCACATCATTGTCTACTGAGGCCGACCTCGGCCAAAGAATGCAGAATGTTTTGCTGTTCCCTGCTGGATTTAATCCCTGTTGGAGTTCAACCAAGGGCTATTTCCTCTCACGTTTGGAGGGAATAAGCCTTAACACTTAGTGTTCACCATCAGCATCTGAAGAAGTGTAACTTCACCACAGCTCCCCTGATATTATCTATGATAGATATCTACACCTCTAGACAGTAGCAGTACACTGGTAAACCGAAAGTGGAACGGAGTAATGTGTTTTACTGGTTGTGTAAGGGGCTGTAATCACTGAATCATCAGCATAGATTATTTCCTTAATGCTATTCTAGAGCTATGTAGACCAGCTGCTACAAAACAAACACATCTGTATCTGCAAAGAATGATCTCTATAAGGTACTTTTTTTCTTTCGTGCTGATTGATCCATGACTTTTAACCACATGTTAAAGCCGGTCAAGCTTTTCAAATGTTTTTTTGCAATGCAATTGCAACAAACGTTTTTAACTATTAACTATTTTAACTATGTTTAAATGCTAAAATTGACAAGCAAGCTGAACGGTATATACTTTCTTTTCCACATCAGCAACAGGGGAGAACCACGTTTCTTCTCACAACAACTCAAGAATGACCTGCCATATGCAAAGATGATTGATGATATGGGGGCTACCCGAACAGAAGCTCGCCCACAAGAGGGACGACACATTGGCAGTTTGTATGCAAACGTACTGATTTAATTAGCTCTATTCAGCCAAAGTGTGTACAGGGACAAAAAGCGATGCTCAAAAAACCCAGAAAATAATAGAAATGTTACGGTGTCCTGGATGAGGGAATAAACAAAACTTTTGAGGCAACTGCCAGTAAAACATCAGCAAGCAATTACATTGCATAATACATGAAAAGCAGGTCCTCTGCTGAAAAATTTGGATTCAGACTTTATTTGCTTGGAGTTTAATAACTAGTGTTTTCTGAAGTAATCTGCAGACTTGTGACGGCTCACGGTTGAAAGCAACTAGCGTGTTCTTCCACTTGGTCTGAATTAGGCTACTGTTGAGGCTCGTTCCATTTGTTGTTTTGGATTGAGATTCACAGTCGCCTCAACAACTTTCTCATTCATTTCTGCTAACATTCATTCTCTACAAAAACGCAAACATGTTAATAATCATCTCCCTTTTTCACTCTTGGAAGTTGGGACACAGAGCGACCCGCTTTGAAGTGTCCCTAACGAAAAACAGACAGAGCGGGGTTTTTTTTTTTTTTTTCTTTCGAACAAAACCACTACAATCCGGTGATGGGAGGGGAGCGCTGGGGCTGGTGAGTGAGGCCTCGAGCAATAAAAGTTTGCTCAGTTCATTGAGGAATGAGCTGGAGTGAGGTGGTAAACACTTCAGCTGTCGATACGGACCTCCACCTGCAGCCTCATTGTGGCACCTATTAATATTAGTAGTAAGTTGAAAAAATGACCGAGCTTCGGCTCTTTGCCACTTTTGCTTTCCATCTCAACTGTTTTCTTTTCCGTTTTCACGTGGAGCTGATCCCCAAGGCCTTTCTGGTTTTATTCCAACCCACACAGATAGTAATATCAACCATGTCGTCACTGTCCTTTTTGCCAATGAAATCTTTAAAATATTGGATTGTTGAGTGGATTACTTTAAGCCCTTGAAAGTATCTGAAATTTTTACTTGAAAAAAATGGTTTGACCAACTCAGCCTCCAAAATATTCATGTGCTGCCTATTATAGTATCTAACCTGGCATCAGCCTCCATCAGGAACGAACCCAGCATCAAACACTTACAACAAAGTGAGGCCTCAAATGGAGATCAGTTACAGCACTGTGCTCTTAACTCTGCTTTAATTGACCATCTCAAAAATCATCCTCGCTTTTGGGCATGTCTTGTCCAACGCGAAGGAAGGTCCTACCAGTTGGGCAAAGTAACACACATTTGGTAGTAATAAGGACCACATCGCTGTCAGTCTTTGCCTGACGTTGGTCAAAGACAACTGGTGATGGTCTGTGATCCATACGTGTACCTGGTGGGCTAATAGTCAATGGACTCCGTATAAGTTCTCCAGGTGGCGGCTCTCAATCTTGAAAAGTGAGGCCGATGCAGAAGTTCCCTAAACTTCCACACTTGGCCGTCAGCTGGCGGCTTCTCTGCCTGCAAAATAAAGTCTGACTGTAAAGAAAAAAAAACAAGAAGACTACTTCTCTCCCCCATTTAGAATAAAATGTATGAAAAAACATCAGATATTTTTGGGGAGTTGCTGCCTTGTGATGGACAGTTTGTATCAAGTAAAGTTTTATCAGGCTAAAATAAAGCTTCAACTATAAATGGTCTGAATTCCAACGGTACCTGAACAGATAGACGAGCATTACAAAGCCTGATGATTAGCACCACGTCTTCATCAGCTGTCGTGTGGCATAAACGCAGACTGTGAAATGGCCTGTCTAGACTTGACGTCATGTCACTGTCGGACGTGTACACGCGCGCACGCACGATTCCTCCCTGTGTCTCCGGAGGTGCCCTTCCCACTAATTCCCATACCTGGCACCAGCCGGGTAGAAAATTTAACATCGCCAGATATTCTCAATGTCGACCGAGTTAAGAGACATGGCTGATGTTTTTTCTACACGACTGTGGGTGAGTGGGGAGCACGGTCGTCCTCCAATCAAGAGGGTTGTCGGTTTGATGCCAGGCTCTGCTAACCGGCATGTCGATGTGTCCTTGGGCAAGGCACTTAACCCAACATTGCTCCTGTAGCTGCGTCTACAGTGTGTGGATGTTAGTTACTGATGTGCAGGTGTCACTGTGTATGGTTCTCCTGTCATCAGTGTGTGAATGGGTGTGAATGGGTGAATGATGTCATGTAGTGTTAAAGCGCTTTGAGTGGTCGGAAGACTAGAAAAGCGCTATACAAGTACAGGCCATTTACCATTACACTACAAAGGGACTACAAAGGGTCCGTTACCATGCTCAACGTGGCACAGGGGTAGAGAGGGTGCGCCAGGAACCGCAAGGTTGGCGGTTCGAGGCCCGGCTGCTTCATGCCCCATGTCGAAGTGTCCCTGAGCAAGACACCTAACCCCTAAATGTAAAACGCCATGGGTTAAAAATGCAATGTAAGTCGCTTTGGATAAAAGCGTCAGCTAAATGACCTGTAATGTAATGTAATGTAATGTAACGCTGATTAAATAAACAAGGAAACTCTTCTTCTGAGTAACTGTCTAGGTAACTATTTGTTCCTCAGTGAATTTTCTGATGACATCTAACTAAAGTAATGCAAAGTGGGGACTTGAGACATCACCTTGCTGCGCCTGTCTCGAGTTATGAGCAGTGTTGCAGCGCACGAGAGGATTCTCCACATTCCGCCATGTTTGTCTGCTACATTAGCCATACTTTGCAGGGAATAGACTTCCTAGACAAAAAGACGCTGGTGACAGACCACATACTTTGTCCTTTACTCTATCACATATGTCAAACTCGAGTCCAGTGCGGCCCGCAAACGCAGTCTGGACGGCCGGATGGCTTTGCTATCATCATCATCGTCGTCGTCGTCATAACGTCCGCCCCTCCGTCCGCCGCTGTTAGTTACAATTAAACCCAGAGAACAAAACCAAAACTAACGGCAGGGAGCCTGACGACACATGAGAGAAGCACCACACATCAGCTGCTTCGTGCCTTTGGTTGGAAGAGGACTGCTTGTCCCCTGGGTTCAAAGCGAGAGGAGACCTGACTCTCAAAAGGACTCAGTTGCTAAATCAGCTAACTGATAACTCCTATGTTTGCGCCCACGTGTCTGGGCCCGTACAATGAAGGAGTTTGATATGTAAAACTCCCGGGTCCTAAGCTACCAAACCAACAACAAGGATGGAGCAATTGGAGGTCAAACAGTTTGGGCTTTTCTGAGGAAGCATTTCATATGTTGTAGATGCTCCGACTCGCTTATAATCGCTTTGTGCCTCCGATGGTCTGTCCGACCTGTCGTTGAGTGAGACGTGAGAGAAAATCAGATCCTGCATGTCAATACCCCCCCCCGCCCCCCAATAGTCTGATACCGGTCACGGTAACAAACGGTCAAAGGAGGAGGGGGGGGCAAACAGAAAAAAGATATCTCATCATCCTGGTCGGCAGCCTTAGCTATATCAAACGTGTTACTGTGGGACGAGTCTTTTTCCAACCACAATAATGTCCTACCAGACCGGCTTTGAACCGATCCAGAAAAAAAACACAAAAAACCCTCTTTTGAATCCCCCGATGCGCTCCGTCCAAATTTGGTAGCTAAACCTCGTTGGTGGTCCCCCTGTGCCTCTTGTGTGTGTGTGTGTGTGTGTGTGTGTTTCAGCCTCAAGAGGCTGAGATGGGCAACCCTTTAAAAACTTGCACCCCACCTGTCATGTGCGGATATGACGCGTGGAAAACAACATAAATTACCATCCCCCTCAACAACACATCCCCTTCTTCTCCGTGGTGTCGTGAGCTGTTGGGCGGGTGAGCACTGATTTAAAACCCCTCTTCCACAACTCCCTTTAAAGGACTGGAAGCCTCCCCGCTGCATGCGCTCTGTTTACGTACATCCACCGGAGATCTCTCTCGTCTCTGCTTATTAAACGGCTTCCTCGAGTGCTGTGCGTTTCCAGGAATAACACGGCCACTTCGCAACACTAACAAGGTCTGACGTCCGTGACCAAAAGGTGTGATGCTACCGGAGGTAAAAAGAAAAACAACAAGAAAACAAACAGGCCGGCTTTTGCATCCTTGGAGTACATAGTTAATGTGGGGAGAGGAGATGATAACAGGACAAGTTTTGTTTATCTGAACAGAAAACATGTTTTTGCGATGCACGTGTGTAATTTAGGATTCAGGACAGGCTGAAAGCCCACCAAAGACATCCCGGGAGATGAGAGGCAGTAGTAGTAACAAATAAAATTAATTTGATCAAATTGTATGATATTGCTAATTTGTCTAGAGAGGTACTGGCTGTATAGGAATAGGAATAAATCAATATATTGATATCTTAATGATAAAAATCCAATAAATGCCTTTTACATCCTAATATCTTTAGCTGCAAAGAAACATTGGCTAGTCTTCTCTAATTGCGACTGCTTTTGAAATATTTTTTTTCCATTGTAGGATGTCATAGTTATAGTGTATTGTGTGTTTTGATTTTTACATCAATATCTTTGTTGTATATGGACAAGTGAAGCCAATATGGAAAGTTCTTAAAATGAGTAAAGTCTATGAGAAAATGACTCTCCTCCTTTCTTGATGAATTCCCCATGTAAACATGAGTTCATCGTCTCAATTTCTAGTTTCAAGTCTTCAGTACAGCATGATGCTCATTTATTAAATGTTGGTCCATTTAGAGTCACACAGACCATGAAGCAGAGGATGTTTCAGGGCGGGTTTACTGTGAGTGACCGGTTGCTGCCGCTACCAGAGCCACATACGCCGTCTATTCATTCTTAAAAATACGGTAAAACCCATTCAAAAGTGGCAAAATCGCTAAACACGAGGCTTCAACATGTCAGTCCGCAAACTGATGGACTTTTGGGTCGATATACTTCACCTTACAGACTTAAACCACAAAAAGAAGCAACTTGTCATGAAAGTCTGAAAGCGTTACAGGCTTACCTCCAAGTTCCTTTACATTCAGGATGGCATTTGGAAATGGCACTGCTTTGATGCTGAAACCTGGGGGGGCAGACAAATGAAAAGCTGTTGTTGTGACATGACGAAACTGTTGGTTTGTGACACATGTTAAGAGTCATGAGAAGCCTTTTGTTGGCTGGCTTGGTTTTCATTAGTGAGAAAAAGAAATAGCTCAAAGAAAACAGACTTGTAGCCCCTCACTCCCAAACCCCTCATTGGATATCTGGTGTACCTTTATTTTTCTAAACCAGCAGCTGGTGAACACGCAGGAGGACTGACAACATATTTGTGTTGTGAAAGCGATAGAGGAGAGCGCTTTGTGTGGTCCCGGCTTAGAAAAACAGAAAAACAACAGCATTTTGTTCTGCGTTGGGAGTTGGAGGAGGAGAGCGCTCAAGTGCTACCATGTATTACGTGGTTTGTTTCTGCGGTTGCACGCAGTGAGAAAAGGAACCCGCTGGAGGAGAGAGGTTTAACGTTGCACAAATTATGCTTCAAACTGTCTCGGTGGGAATTTGTTTCCTGGAAATGTTCGCAAACAGGAGGAGAGATGAGACAGACAACTGATTAGGATTTCACTAAAGCATCTGAATTATCTGCTAAACGTGGTTTTCAGGCACATTACGACAGCGCAAAACCATGAAGTAGAAACCGCAGGAGACCTCTCCCAACCTCTCCCTCGTTGTTCATCATCTCTCTGTAGATGTTGGCAGATGCAGACAGTGCTGACGGATAAATCTCATTTCAGAGAAGCAGGTTTCTCGGGTGGGGGTGGGGGTGTTGGTTTCCTTGAGGGAGAGCATTGCGTGTGCAGGAAGAAGGGCGAGTGATGTACTAACCCTAAAGGCTCATCCTCTGGACACACTTAACTCACCAGAATAAAGCAGCCCCCCCCCCCTGCCGTTGGAGGGCCGCGATACCTGCATCTCCAGATGGGGAGGACAGCGTGCTCTTGACACGTGAAAGAACTCGTGGGGGAGAATGTGCTGAGGGCTGGGGCTTCCATTGAAGTGATCTTTAGTACCTGTTGTGGGAACGACGCAGTCAGCGCCCTCGCTGCAGAGCCGGGAGAGAAGGCTGGTCTTTCCGGCGCCCGTCAGGCCGATGCACACCACATCGTACTCCGGCCTTGGCGGCGGCGGCCCTTTACAGCACAGTGCCCGGAAACACTGAGACAGAAAAAGACAACAAAGAAAACCAGTGAATTCATTGGGAAATGGCACAAAAAATAGCTGGTGCAAAGAGCTGGACATTTTGGAACCACCACTAGTTCCACAAAGAACGTGTTCTCAGAATAAACTGCTGCTCCTTTAGCTTTGCAAGAAGACTCCTGGCTTTCTACGATGAAGCAGGAAACACACTACACATCAGGTCTGGTCTACAAAACAATCCTGATTGAGCAAAACGTTTAACAATATTTCAACGGAAAGAAATAATGGAGTAAAGACAAGTATTAAAGCACAAGTTGTCTTACTTTTCACGATTCTGAGAGTGACAAAAGAAAAAAAGGGAATAGGATTGTTTTTGTCTGTGGAGTCGGTGTGTGTGTGTGGGTGTGTGTGCCTGGACCCCGTCTAACTGGGCCCTTGTGGCGACCGGAGGCAGACCTGTCATTCCATGAATCACAGCCTGGGACTGAGGGCCTGCTGTGAGACATTAAGGGGCAAATGCAGTGTGCACCGTGAATGAGATCCTTAAAAACTACTGCGCAGAGATCAGTGTACCAAACTAAAGAGAGATCTCTTTTATAGCCAGACAGGAACCAGTCTGGACAAGGCAGAGCATGTGCACACGCACACGCACACACATCAGAATTCAGGGAGAAGAACATCAACGTGCAGCATAGGTTGCTTCTCTTGTCCAGTTCGGGGGGGAGGGGCTGTACCTCAGCGGGAAGGAGTAGATGTAAACAAACAAGGGGGCGGGGGGGGCACAAATATTGTGCACTAATGTCCGAGTATGTTTGGCAAATGTTCAAGGTTTAGGTGAGGAGCTTCTTTCCTCGGGCTTTCAGAGCCGGGGCCAAAACAGGGCTGCCGTTTGATGGCAACATGTGGGGGGGGGGAATCCGCTTCAGCAGAACCAGACGTCGCAACCCGACCCCCCGACCGACTCCTGGGTGAACCCCTTGGGTTGGTCAAATGGAAATATACTACTCTTCCCGGATACCGCCGAGATCAGAAACACACGTCAGATGGGAAAGAGGGCGGGGGTCAGATGAAGTCATTCTGATTCTTACTTTCCCCTGAAGCGAGTGGGAAAGATTTGTCTCGGTTGATAGTTGGGATCTTTCAAGGGACGCAAAGGGATCTATGAGTTAGAGGACGGTTCTTTACTCAGCCTCCCTTATTGAATTAACCAGAGTTGACGTGAACATGACAACAACAACATAAAAGAACGTAAACCTGCGGGAGCAGACAAGCGGGACAGCTCCAGCCGCTGGCTCTCCCTTCGCGTACAGTGCCGATTTCACTGGTCCCGGGGTCCCTGTGTACATACTGGGGCTGCTGATCCTCCCCCACCCATGTGTGAGTGAGAGAGACAGGAGCTCCCTACCTCTGGCTCTCTTTGACAGCAGCAGATTGACGAGGAGCACTCCGTCAAAAGGCTCAGAGGGAAGGAAGCCTGGAGGCCTTTAACCGCTCCAAGACACGCCTCCTTTCCCGTTGCACACCGGCCCGTGACAATGTCAGAAGGTTCTAAGTGGACATGAAGTTCCAACTGATATTGCAAATGTTGTTAGGGTGATTTACGGCGCCTTCGCCCGTGTTCAAAAGTATAAAAGGATATTTGCACATGCGCTGCTGTGCAACAGCAACAACAGGTGCTTACGGTGGGGTTGTCAGATTTTTCATTGTTAGTTGAGGTTTCTGTCCAACAATTACTATGGGCCCTGTGCACTCCAACATCTTTGAGACCAAACAAATCAAATCCTGCAGAACCTCGCCAAACGGCTGACTATAGTGCCAGACTTCATCGAGTGGCCCCAGCGGCATCTTATGGGATTGGACATTTTTTGATTAAGACCTCCCTTAGAGCTCTGCTGAGACATTACCTCACTGTTGTTTTGAAAGTTTATTAGATAGGCTTTATGTTGATGAGAAATAGGGCTGTTTATTATACACACACACACCTTTTCGCTTCGGAACCGCCTTATTCTTATCCCCCACACCATTACCCCACCAGCAGCCTGAACCATTGATACAAGGCAGGATGGATTCATGCTTTCATGTTGTTTACGCCAAATTGTGACCCATCTAAATGTCGCAGTGAAAATCGAGACTCATCAGGAATGTTTTTACAATCTTCTATTGTACAGTTGTGCGGATTGTAGTCTCAGTTTCCTATTCCTATTCTTCTCTGATTGGCCCCCGGTGTGGTCTTCTGCTGCTGTATCCTTCTTCAAGGTCCCACATGTTGTGCGTTCAGAGATGGTATTCTGCATTCCTTGGTTGTAACGAGTGCTTATTTGAGTTACTGTTGCTTTTCTATCATCTCGAACCAATCTGCCAATTCTCTTCTGACCTCTCAGAGCAAAGAGGCATTTTTGTCCACATAACTGCTGCTCACTGGATACTTTCTCTTTTTCGGACCATCCCCTGTAAACCGTAGAGATGGTTGTCCGTGAAAATCCCAGTAAATGAGGAGTTTGTGACCTACTCAAGTGAGGCCGTCTGGCACCAACAACTATACATGTTTAAGTAAGTAAGTAAGTAATTTTAATCCCCCTTCTTCCCCATTCTGATGCTCTGTTTGAACTTCAGCGAGTTGTCTTGACCACGTGTACATGCCTATATGCATTGAGTTGAGGCATGTGATTGGCTGATTAGCAAGTTGTTTAAACAAGCAATTTGGTGTAGCTAATAAAGTGGCCGGTGAGTGTGTATCCTTGTTTCAACCAAGTCGTAAATTTTCTTTGTTCAGTGGTACATACTTTGAATAGCTAAACTACTATATATAGATTAGGTCGGTCAACATAAACGCATTAATCTATGCGATTAATGTGGAGATTAATGTGGCTGAGATTAAATGCAACAAAATTTTAAAGTAGTTAACGTACGTTTCTTTACTTCCGGTCTACTCCAGGTCCCGGAAGTAAACGGAAGTTGACCACGGAAACGAAACGGCTACTAGCTGCAGTCAGTTACATCAAGATGGAGAGATATTTCTGCATTGGATGTAAAGCAAACAGAGGCGCGACACACAGCGGAGAACTGAGCAGAGGAAATACTCCATGTGTCAAACAAAAGGGGGGGAGGGGGGGGGGGGGGGTCCAACGGACCACCTAAAGCACCGCTATGCTAAGCTAGCTGCTAGGCTAAGCTATCTCCTTGGCTAAATGTGGGGAGATTGTTGGCACTTTAAATACAGCTGTTAAATGATGGAGAGTTGAGAGCAAAGTGCACAAGGACAGCAGGTAGAGTCGGTAGTTTGTTCCACCCGGTGGAATTCTGCCTCCAAGATGATCAAATGTGTGTAGTTTTCTGTTGATAATACCCTTAACAATTAAACAACATTCATTAAAAACAACATTGTAACAACGACATTCATTAAATCGCCATTAATAATTTCAAAATGTGCGATTAATTGGTGTTATTGTTTTTAAGCTATTGACAGCCCTAATATATGTATGTACACACACACAGACACACACACACACACATTAAATGATGGAGAGCCAAACAGCTTGAAAAAAAGACATCAGGATATTTAATGGGTGACACAGGGCCTCCTGGCAGCGGACCAGAGACAGAAGCTCACGGCACTGCTGCTGTGTAGTGGTGCTCGTTTAAGGTCGGGTCCATAAATCTACAGATGCTGACCTTAATAGTATTTGGCCTTGTGTAAATGATGGGGGAGGCGCAGGAGATAATTGGAGCAGTTCCTTTCCCTCCGATCACTTACTAGGCTGCATGTGCGGTATGCTTAAAGTCATACCAGTCATGCAGCAACCTTGCAACCAACACCCCACAAAATTAAAAATCCCCTGACATAGTTGGACAGAGTGAGGGCCCGGCTCTTTTTAGCAAACCGCTTGTATTCTTACTCACCCGGCTACAGCCATGGCACCACAGGGAAGGGAAAGCAGCGGCGTGACAGCATATTCCCAAATAGAGATACACCGACAAGCTTGCAGTTCTTGCTGCGTCTTTTTACCCAATTCAGTTGTGACGCAATGGTGGTAAAACATCTATAAGTCCACTTATTCCACACATACATTCATCATCTTTTAGGGAGTTGCCAGCATGCCAGGGATCAACCCGCCTAGCTTCCAGTAAGTGGATGACCTGCTCAGACTACTGAAACCACATTCTCCCCGGATTATTAATCCAAAGTGTTGCCTGGAAAACATTTTCGGTCTTTTGGGTTCATCCCTATTTAGGTATTTTACTGGAATATATATACGTGTATATACCTGTGAGGAATGCATTTTCCCAATGGAACCAATGATGCAGCCATGAAAATAAATAAATGATCAAAATGTTGAGTCTGGATTTACTGAGAAAGTGTGTCCAAACTTTTGACTGGTACCATAAGGTGTGTAAACCATGGGAGAAATGTTGGCCCCAATGATCATCAGTGATTGACCTTCCTCATCGGCATCATTACTGGTAATGGAAAACTCCAACAGCACATGAGGCCTACACAGGATCTGGGTGGGGGGGCAGGGGGCTGTGTCCTTATTAAACGCACCCCGTGGCGAGGCATACTTCCTCTTAAAAGGTAAGTTACAAGATACGCCTTTGCACTCAGCGCCCAGTGCATCGTGTCCAGCGATGGTGTTAATGAGGGTAATAATGCCTGCTTAAAAACGGCAGTATCACATTTGCCTCATGGCATTTCAGATAGCTGGGCACAGGGGAAAAACAAACAAACAGAACTTTCTCCCTGGCCACCAATTTACACTAGCCGGGGCATCTTGATTTCCCATCAAAAATGGGGGGGGGGTGAAGGAAACAGGAGGAGAGACAGAGAAAGGACATCCGAGACATGGCCCCGTAGACAAATGGACACGGGACACGGACAGGCAAGCAGCGCTCTTTTTTTTTCATTTCTCCAGACCAAGCGTCGGGACAACACTTGCGTGCATGGCTCACTCCTGACCTTTTGAAAATGACAGTCCTTTATATGGGCGTCCCGACAGAGGTGCGGCGCTAACAGATATGTG